CTAATAGTGGAAGCTTGTTATCAGTACAACTTAGTTCATTATTTGAACAAGTGTTTATATCCTTGATTGAGAATCCTATTGCGATCTAGTGAACCTTTCATCCCCAATATATGGTTGTCTCTTTATTCGAGAAGTCTCTTGCAGAGTTTTGTTTATCTCTAGCAAGTGGCTATCCTTTGTGAAGCTTGTCTGTTATTCTGTTAATCTTTGCCTACCTAATTTTTTCCCCAGTAGAGCAGATGACTTTGAGATTCCCTAGTGAATTCCAAATACTCTTTTATCTTTCCAGCTCTTGTGGAATTTTATAATCCCCAACTATATTTCTTCTTGTTTTTCCCCTGCAAAGTTTCTTTTGCTAAGTTTCTCCAGCGGCAGTCTGTCTCCTATGACATTCATTTTCCACAGAGTCCTATGTTTGCATTCATATCATATCATATCATGTCATATTCATTTTGCGATATCTTAGGGCCAAATATTGGGTCTTCTATATTCAAGTCTCTTTTGTCTCGTCGAGACAAAGATATCAATCTCCATATCTCCGAATAGAAGAAACTTAAATAGGGGTGTCGTACCTCAAAAAATGGGAACAAACTCATGAAATGCAATTACACGCTCGCGGGGTGGACTTAATAGAGTCGCCGCGATTTTTATTTATTCCCATAGAGGGAAATAGAAAATATCGAATAAAACCTCTAAAAGATAGATAAGGATATGGTCATTGCAACCAATATCTGAGTTTGAGAGTCGGTTACGCAAGGGGAAGATATTTGCACCTCTTACGTTCATTGTATTCAACGGGAACTATTTAGTTAGGGTCAAAAGAATGTTAGCTTATTTTAGTTTTTAATATGCTACTTATTTGGGATAGAAAAGAGAGAGAGAAGAGAAGTGTTTTTAGATTTTTATTTAAGAGCAAGGAGACATAAGGGTTTTTATTACAAGGGGACTCGATAAGACTTCTGAATCTTGTGCTTATATATCCTCATAGTGCAATGAAGAAATCAAAATATTTGTAGTTCGGGAACTATGATGAAAAAAAAGAAAAAGGTTGATCGCCAAGGATTGGGGCGAAAAAAGAAAAAGATTGCTCGCCAAGGATTATGACCTTTGTGCCTATGTGTCCTCATTGTGAAATGAGAAATCAGAGAGTTCGTAGTTCTGGATAAAACGTATGTTGATCAATTTTAGCGAAAGATATTTAGTCGCATTCGACATAAATCATTGCTTTACCCAAAACAAGTGAAGAGCGGGTGTTTGCATCAAAACACAAGAGACAGGTGAATGACAAACATTTGATGAGAATCAATTGTTCAAAGGGTTGCGCCAGAATGCTGGATTTCAATGGCCCTTTTTTATTCAAGTTGTTATGAAAATTGTTTGATGGACAACGAACACTTGATAATAATCAATTACTCAAAGAGTTACGCCAAGATGCTAGATCTCAAAGAGCCTTATTTGTCCAAGTTAATTATAGTGTTTTAAGAAACGAAAGAAATGAATGAATGACTATCCCAACATGCAAGACTTGAGACCGATCATCGAGGCTTATGCTAGAATACTAGATTCCAACAACCCTCTTCTTTCATGTTTATTAAGAAACTAATTTTAAGGTTGAAATAACCTAGGTCAAGGTTTTCATTAAGGTTCAGGCATCAAGGTAGGCTTATACATGACATAGATTTATAATCACGTAAAGACTCAAGTCATTAGGGTTATAAAACATATGAACATCCATTTTTAATCCAACTCTAAAATCATCCTAACATGACAAAAAGTTCAACATCAAGAGAAACACATAAACATTGAGGTCTAATATCTAGCTACATTGTTATATTCATCAAGACCTTAACCTTAAGACCTAATCAAAAGTTAACCATTCATCAACACATAAGTATACAAAATCAACTCACAAAATTTATCAAGACATGACATTAAACAAAGTGTAACATCAACATGATATTAAACATTAAGGCATGGTAAGCAACAAATATGAAATTCTTTAAGAAATAAACCATAAGAAAATATTTACACATAATAAAACATGTGATTATCAAATGAATAACAATAAATAGAAATAAATATTTTTTTAGGTTTTCTTAAATGACAAAAATAAATAATCAAAAGAAAATAAATAAATATTTTGATTTTCAATATTTAGACTAGAATAAATAAATAAGGAAAAAAAGAAAAGAAATTAAATAAAAAAATAAATAAAAGAAAAGGTAAGAAAAGAAAAAAAGAAAGAAAATGGTAGAGAGAGAGAGAGAAAAAGGTGAGAAAAAGAGGCAAGGGGGTTGCTGGGTGTTGAACCAACACCCTCCAAGTTACCACTCAACAACTCAACCGCTGCACTAAGGCACTTGGGCTTGTCTTAGAATTCAACTAAAAGCAATATATTTTAAAAGAAAATTCAAAAACAAAAAAGCGCACACAGAGGGAGTCATTTTTTTCCTCATGGTAGCTTTTCAAAAGCTCAACAATGGCAAAATGAAAAATAATGAAATACGAACCAAATATGACATGTAGATATATTATCTCAACCAAAATTTCACAAGGAACTCAATTATAGCCTTAGTTTTTATTTATTTTTACTCTATCATGAGAATTTAATTGAAAACTAGAAAAATCTTAAAATTTTAAAATTAAATTAAATGACATATGTCAATGATCAATGATTAATAGCTTAGGTGTTTTAATCACAACATCAAAACAAACATAATGGTAACATGAATGAGTTAAAAAGATGCTCTAAAGTATGAGAACGAGAAGGTGAGAATGATACCTAATGGAGTGAATTTGTGGACCCCTCAAATGCACTTCCAACAATGAAATGATAATCCTACTAGCTTCCTTGAGTTCCCAAGAAGGCAATGGTGTGATTAGAATGGCTTGAGACCTTCTAGAATGCTCTGTCCAAATCCACTTGCAAGTGTGAAAAAAAATGAGATTTGGCTATGGTGTTTGGGGTGTTCTAGATGAATTTCAATGCATACAGTTGGGTTGTTATGGTTTATGGATGATGTTGGTGAAGGAAAAATAGAAGGGATGTGAAGGAATTGATGGATTCAAATTTTGGCTTCAATGGAGGTTTGGAGGTTTTGATGCAATGTTCTCTTTCTGCTCAATGCTTGTCTTGATACAATGGGGTTAGTTTGCATTTGTAGAGGTTCAATTTAGGTTAGGATAGATGTGTGATTAGATGCTAGGTTAGGAGTTTGTCTTGTATGATTATTTTTTCACAAAAATGGCAAAGATGGTACATATGTCAAGGTTTGGATATTTGACTTGTATGACATTCTAAGCATTCATTTTAGGTTAGGATAAGTTACTTTAGAGGTATGAACTCATCTGAAATTTGGTATCAAAGTGAAGCTAACATAGAAAGGAACAAATCTTGTGTTGATAACATGTTGAGGAAAGGCTTGAAGAATGCTTCAAATTGGCTCCAAAATCATGTGAATCAAACTGAACTACAACACATAGAAAAATATGGCCAATCTGGCATTTCTCCACAATGTGAAACGCTAACTTTGGTCCCCTAATATCTCTCAATTGGCCAGAGCTTTTTGGACCAAGTTTTCCACCCTCATGAAGTAGGAAGTATGCTCTTTAAATGCAGACCCCAAGTATTTCAATTGGACCCTTAGGTTGTTCATAAATTGGCCATAAAGTTATGCACTTGAAAATGTAAAAAACTTAGAAAAATTTCTAAGTGTTTTGAATTTTGCAACAACGTGAAACCTCAACTTTAGCCATAAATTTCTTCCACTTTAAGAAAGCTTTTGGATTCAAATTTTCATGAGCATGTAGTATCAAATGACATCTTTAAATACAACCCTCAAGTGTTTCAAGTGGATGCTTGAGGAAGAAGTTACAACCTTGAAAAGTTGGTCACTTGATCATAGATTTTTGTACTTAGTGAAATTTCAAAAACCCCTAATTTTGACAATTCTTGATCTTTTCTTGATTTTCTTGATTTAGCTTAATCAAAATCAATTATTTTACACATTTTCATGATTCTTGACTTGAGAAGTCCATGGTTGGCCAAAAATGTCAAAAGTCAAACTTTGACCTTGAGCATCTGTTGACTTTCCATCAGTTGAACCAAAAATCTTCAACTATCCATAAATAAACTCTTGAGCAAAATTAATCACATCAATGGACCACAATGATGAATTTGAATCCTTTGAATCACATTCCAAGCCATGAGATCATGTTTTGGCCAAAAGGCCAACATCAAGCTGACTTTGACCAAAACCCTAATTTGGAATACATGATAGATTGAAACTTGATGAATTTGAATTAATGCCAACTTAAACTTGATTGTTGATGACGATAATCTCTTGATCACTATGCATGAATTGAGGAGCTTGAGATGTTGAGGAGCACACTAAACCTTGATTGATGAACCACCTGAACAGAGCAAATTTATATTTTCATGTACTAGTGCAAAGATTAGAATATAATTTTAAAATTTACACCCATTATACTAAAAACGCGTGTTAATTAGAAATATGGTGACAATTTTGTAAACAAAATGTCATTTTAAGTATTAATACGTGACAATAAACACTTTATTTTCACAAAAAGAGTTTAAGTTTTAAAATATTATTATAATCAAATCTCTATTATTCCTGATAAATTTAAAACGAGTGTAAATTTAAATGGATTGAAAAAATTATTTAATTTTAAATATTAATTCTAATAACTAATATTTATTTTGCAAAATAAAAAACCTCATAGTTAAAATAAAAATCCTTTCTCTCAAAAGCAATTTCTCTCTCTAAGAAGAGTGGTTCTCGATGAACCCTAAATCCTTAATCTATGTGCTAAACGAAAATAAATCATTCAAAATTCCTAAATTCTGAGACTTTCTATACATTCAAAACCCTAGACAGAATGAGCGACAGTGGAGGCGGTTCTAGGGTTCCGATCCCCCAACAATATACACAAAACCGTCACTGACATAAGAGAGATCACCAGAAATCATCACTCTTTCAATGAAATCTACACCTAGAATGAGGCGGTATGTATCTGGGCTGAGGAAACTTATAAGAATCAACCAAGGTAAGTTTATAAACATTGTTTGATTGGTAATATTCATCGGGGAGATTTTAATGTTTTAGTCATAAGCTTTACAATTCATGACGTGTATATATGATTCTCTTATACCATTATTAAATTGGGGTTGGATTACACAAACCATCTGTTATATATTTGACCACAGTGAGACAATTTTCATGTTTACTTTCTTATTTTAAATGGAGATTTAAATTGTTGATATGCACAAAAAATGCGTAAACTTGTCGTTGTAATTCGGAACTTATATTATTTGTATTTTTACATTATTTAGTGACATTATTTTTTCTGTTTCATTTTAAAGGCCCAAAGATGCTCTTAAGGCCATCATCAAAGGTTTTTGGTAGTTCAGATGGGTTTGAAGGGGATACTGGAGATGCATTTGACGCACATCAGTGGAAATGTGTTCGAATAATGTCTGGTACTTTTCTTTTACCATACACTCATATATGGCTTGAAATAGGGTGGAAAATTGTCCAAAGAAAAATCTGTTAACAATGAGATTATGTTTTGAGATATGTCCCAATGAACTTTCTTTTGATAACAAAATAGCTTTTTATCCCTCTTCAAATTAAAATTGTCTAAATTTTCACTTCATTTAAAGTCTTCTTATGCGCCATAAAGACCTCTTTTGTGAATTCTATGACCTTCTAAGAGATATGTTGAATTAGTCCTTACAAGAGTGTAGGTGAGAAGGGTAGCTCAACTGACTTGAACTAGTTGAGCTGAGGGTTAAAGAAGTTTGAGGTCCATGGTTCAAGTTTTGGCAGGGGTATAAATATATTCTAAGAATTTTCCATTAAAGAAAAAGTCCTTACGGGGGTGTGTTGAGTTTAGATATCAGGGAGAAACCCTAGATAATCCCTACTCAGAGAAGGGAATTCTATAGATGAATGGACACTAGTTCTGAGTGAGTATTTTGTGCAATGAAAGTAAGTGAGGAAGGAAAATTGTAATTGATTAACAAAATAAGAGTGCCTTTTCTTTCCAGCCACAGTGGGCAAAAGAAATATCAGTTACTTATAATTGCAATTCATGAGAGGAAATATTCTAACAAAACAAAATAAGTTGACTCATTTATATGGAAATTAAACTAAAAGGTAAAAGTAAAATGGAATTACAACAGGCTTTTCGCTGCATGGGGTCCTAGGACAGTAAACATACGTGATGAGCCATAGACATCTAACATATATACTGCAGCTTTTAAAAAGTATTTTTACAGGATCCTAGGATTGCATACATCTATAACATGCTATAACATCTAACATATATGTTGTTTCTTGAGGGGACTATTGATTTCAATCATAATTAGTATTTATGATTTCTTTGTTACCATTATTTCCTCTTATTTCTAGATAGCCTTTCATAGTTATCCTAGATAACCTTGGTTAATTCTTTTTTTGATATCAAAATTTATGGACCTCAACATTGTCTTTATGCATCAGATGTGTTATTTTGACCCACAATTTGTTGACTCCCCTTGGATGTAACTATTTGCAAAACACACATGAACTTTATTAAATAGATAATGCGGTTCAACTACATAGTTAATGAATATGATGTATATTTAAACACAACGATATTCAGGCAAAACACTGTTTATTTATTACATGGTTAATCACGTTTAATATTGGTGATTAATGAGTTAGGTTGATATTTTTATATATTTAAGAATAGATTGTTTCATAGTATATTCTTAAAATATACCGTTGTATATTTTTCATGTAATTAATACAATTAGTTGTGTAATTCACTATATAATACATCTTCTGTAGTGCTACTGAGACACACCGAGTCTCTAAATTCTTATTATTCTTTTGTATTTCAACATTGTATCCACAACATACTGAGAGAAAAATTAATTGTCTTACCCGGTTGACACACTGTCTTCCGGTAAATTTTCAGCATGGTCATTCTTTGGTATATTTAGACTGCAAAGATAAACGATAATAATGGTTATGCTAGTATTCGAATTTTGAATTTATCCTTATCCTTTCTGGTGCTTTTTATTTGTGGTTTCAAGTATTAGAATTTTTGAGGATATTACGAGTCGCAAGATATGTATAAGGTTTTGGGCATAACTAATATATAAATAATTTTGAAAAATTGTTTCACACTGAGGTTAAAATATTGAGCAGCATTCGGCATCGAAACATTGTGAAGTTATTGTGTTGTATTTCTAATAATGATACAATGCTACTTGTTTACGAGTATGTCGAAAACCAAAGTCTTGATAGATGGCTGCACAAGAAGATTGATATGAAGTCTTCAAATGTGTTGTCAAGTTTGGTTCATCATGTTACTCTTGATTGGACAAATAGAATGCATATAACTATTGGAGTTGCTCAAGGTTTGAACTATATGCATCATGAATGTTCACCACCTGTTGTTCATAGAGATGTGAAAACAAGTAAAATTCTTTTGGATGCTCAATTCAATGCAAAAGTTGATGATTTTGGTTTGGCTAGGATGTTTGATACAGCCTGGTGAACTTGCTACTATGTCGGCTGTTATTGGCTCCTTTGGCTATATGGATCCAGGTACAGTTCATGACATTCCAATCATCATTTTTTACTCATGCTAAAAATTATTTCTCTTAAAATTTTATGCATGGCAATATATATTTTTTCTCCATATAAATTGAATTGGTTTTGGCTTTGATCCTAGTAAATTTTTTTTCCTTCTAAAGTCTAGAATAATCATTTTTTGCATGCTTTGGGAGAGCTTATGGAAATGACTTACGACATATGTTCGTATGTTGTTACCAACTTATTTCCATAAACTCTTTAAAATAGCTTTTAAAAGCAATGTATAGATATTGAAAAGAGTTTCAGTTTATTTTATATTTTGTTAAAAATAACTTATACATTAGTATGCTATAAGCTCTTAATTAATTCAAAACAAGGCCATGTTAAAAGACACAGAAATCGAGATCTTTTTAAAAAACCGCACGCACGCACGCTCACACAGATATATATCTTAAGCTAATATGATCAATTTAAGGACAATTTAAAAAATATATATACAACTTGTCCCTAAATTGATCATATTAGCTTAAGAATCAAAGAATGTTTTTATATTTTAAAATTGTGATATTATTTATTGTTGAAAGGGAAAGGAGAGTGACACATGAAATTTGTGCCTTTCTGCAGCAAAAAGAGAGAAAATTGTAGAGATGAAAAACTATTATAATGGAACAAACTGTATAGCACCAGTGCTGTCGATGTCGATGGCGGATGGCGGTCCATGACTAAGAATCAAAATTCTGCCATATCGGCTGCTTTACGGTGTCGTTATAGCGAATTATGGCCCATCTCCTTGCCAACTAAATTTGACAGACTTATCTCCTCTTTCGATCCGTGGATTAAGTTTCCTACCTTCCCCCTTCTTGTGAACCAAACTATGGTCTTTATATCCTCTCTTCTCTCAACCAAAAAAAATATCTAACTGAATCCCTCCCCTCCAGTTAGACCTCCCATTCCTTATTCATTTTAACCAAAGTTTTTATAGTGGCTGTGATTTTCATCACTGTTTCTTTATAATTATATATTTTGTTGTTTGTTTTACTTGTTGATCTCTATTAATTTATTTCTTTCTTCTTTGAAGGATGACGAGCCAAGGCTTGGGTAGCCTGGTCAAGCACCTCGCCCTGCAGTAGCTGGAGGAGCACCATCTTTTTGCCTATTTTCTCTCTCTTAGAGACCTTGTCGAGTTATATAAAATTGTCTACTCTTAGGACTAATCATATAGTCTATCATATATGTGCTTATGTATAAGTAGTTTTCATGTAACTTATAATTTATTTTCATAATCTATTCGGAAAAGCTTGTGAAAATAACGAAAAACAACTTATGAACCTTTCATAAGCTCTTTCCATAAGCTTTTCCTGAATACTCCCGCAACTCACAGGAACTTATGTAATAGATAAGATCAAATAAGCTCGTATTTGGCATACTTTATGTTTTTGTACTCTTAACTAAAAAATTATTAAAAACATATTCATTATTCATTCATAATTTGTATTGACTTTTGTGTTTTTCTTCTTTTTCCACTTATTGAAGAAGTTAGGATGATGAAATTCATTGTTTTGTCTTTCCATCCGTTTGATCATATATTTTTCTTTCATAATGCTTATGTCTTTTTCTCTATAGAATAGAATGATAAAATAGTAAAGCATTGTTTTCATGTAATTCAAGGCTGCTGATAAGAGTTTTTTTACCCACTTTATAAGTTAGGTTGATTGAACGAAATAGTGTAAATGAAATTAAATATAATATTATTATTAAATATTTTACACGATAACTAAAATTGGGTGTAATAAACCATATTTTTTCATCCTATTTAAGGGAATAGGGTGTCAATTCGTTGACATCGATAAGAAACATTATTTATTTTACACTCGATTTTTATCAAATAGGTGTAAAATTATTTGATATAAATGTATATATGTGGAACAATTTACACCCATTTTATATAAAATTAGGTGTAATATAACTTCTATTTACACTCGTTTTAAAACGAGTGTAAATTCGTCAGACATTTCTCATCCTTTAACTTAACACCCTCTAATAACGGGTGTTAAATGTATAAAAAACGGGTGTAAATTTCTCTTTTTACACTAGTGATGGGATTAACAATGCATAAGAAGTGAATGATGTTATGCAAATGAAGGTGAAATTTAGGGGTAAAAATTGGGGTATGATAGTTGCCCCTATTTAAATATCTTTACTAGATAGCATGAGTGATGATAATCCTCGTGAGATCAGGGTGAAAGATATTTAAATATAGAAGACTTGGAATTTTTGCCACTAGATACCATGATATGCTATGCTATGGACTGACAAACTTCTCTTTTTGGTTTGTTAGGGGTATGACATGAAATGAAATGAGCCATGACATGATTTTTTTATATGATGGATGATGGACACACATGTGGGAAAAGATGGAGACATAAGGTAACAGTGATCCACAAGAAATGTCAAAGACCAATGGGTGATGACTACTAGGGATGACAAATATGTTGGGGAAAAGAAACTGGGGAAAATCAAAGATGATTTATCAAACACATTCAGATATGACCTGAAGAAAAGAATATAGTTGACAAACCTGGAGTCTTCTTATAAGAATACCATCCATACAAAACAAGACAAGATTAGGAGTCTTCTTACAAGAAGATCATCCACACAAAACGAGACAAGATTAAGAGTCTCCTTACAAGAAGATCATCCACATAAAATAAGGTATACAATGATTCTTTATGAAAAAATCAATCGAAACAAAAAATCATTGGAGTTTTCTGACAAGAACAACATCCAAGCTTCTAGAAACTCTTTGAAGTGAAGATTCATATACGATCTTCTACGAGCCATCAGGAAAAACAGACAGGGTAATCCAATTCTCTGTATGTGCCAATAACAATTGAACTTAGACTGCAAGCATCAGTTACATCCAACTTTTAATGGGTTGGTGCTAGGTACAACTGGACTTTCAAATAT